CTTCCATGGACTAGACACACTTTAGTTTGTTGCTCACACCTTAAGGCCATGGAAACAATTTCACTCCCACCATAGCATAAAATCCTGCCTAAATTTCATGTGACTAGATCTAGATTTGAAATGTACACTGTAGAATGGGTTGATAATCTGCCATCTTACACTTATTACTTGATGTTCTAGAAACTGGTATGTATGTGGCTGATTGCAGTAGAAATGTAGATTATGCATTGCCATAGTGTAATATCATATCAACATTGTAATATAAGCAGTAAAACTGATATATCTTTTTTTTACTTGGAACATTCTGAAAAAACTTATGTTGTTTCAGATCCCAAATGTTTATGAAACGACATCTTAAACATTTTTATGACATAAAATCAAACTTGATACTTGAAGAAAAGCACTAAGAAGTCACGCTGACACAATCACGACCATGACTCACTGTCAGGAAAGAGAAACTTATTGTTTCCTATACATGATGTACAGGAGAAGATTTACGTTGTACTTTGAGGAGTATGTATATGTGTACGAGTTAATCATGATCCTGAGCTGTGGGTATTACAACATCTACTGCATGGCACACATTCCTCAGTAGGTATTGAACTCTGGCCAAGCTCCATTACATACATAAAACAGGGCCTATTGTCGGAGGAAAGGGGTGCAACAATCATCAATTACGCCAACACTTGTTTGTCATACACATTCTCCTCCAATGAAATAATCAAACGGCATTTATCAAATGATGCAAATACTGAACGTCATCTAATTACTCACTGTAAATGTCAGTACCAGCGTGAGGAGGAAGTGGTAGGAACCTGGTCCTATAACCTGTCTGTAGTACAGTGTTACACATCAAACATAACCACCAACGTCTAACAGATATATAGCTGGCTTTCTTTGAAGTTTAAGTTCGTAAAATGTACAGGTCTATAAAGGTTTCAATTCACCCCACATTTGATGAATATATCTATATATACATCACAATTTCTACTTGGTAAATTCTTACCACTCCGTCTGTATGGTATACGGTAAATTCTTACCACTCCGTCTGTATGGTATACCAGACTGGTAAAAGGACCACCACATGTTTATATGTGTATATAAACGCAGTTAGAAAATAAGCAGTTAACAAAACAAAATGCTTATGATCACAATATAATTAAGTTCCATGCATAAAGTTTTGAAATAAACAGATTCATGAAATTGAAAAAAAAGTGACTGTGGAATTGATTATATTAGCATAGTAGAACGATCAACTTTCATGTATCAGAATAAACGGTAATAACTGGAACCTATTTAGGGTTCCTTTTTGGTCAGTGGCGACATACAGGTGTTATAAGTACCAGACACAGTTAATCCCAGGGTAGGTATTATATGCATGGGGACATCACCAATAATTCACTTAGTGCTTCATTGTCTAAGGGAATTATATTACCAACTGTCTGAGGACATCACTCAGTCTCTGAAGACATCACGAAGTGTCTAAGGGCATCACACCTTAGGAGGCACGGTAGTCTAGTGGTAGGAAGCCTGTCTCTGAACAAGATAGTTTACTTCGATTGTTCCAGTCTACTCAGCTGTAAATGAGTACTTTTGGTTGGGCAGTGCTGGAATTGTTGAATGATAACTGTTAGCACGGAAATGGCAGCACCAGCTACACGTATATGCTCCCCAGGGAGTTGAGAAAGATATTGGCTGGTTGCAAAGACCCTATAACTATGGATAATAATTTGTGAACTGCTTTGAGACGACCTACAAACTATGTTGTGATAAAGCGGTATATAAGAACCTCAAATTTTATTATTATCACCCAGTATCGAAAACATCACGAATTGTCTAAGAACATTACCAAATGTCTGAGGACATCACTAAGGGTCTGAGGGCGCATCACCCCGTGTCTGGAGACATCACCAGCACCAGTGCCTGAGACATCACCAAACCTCTGAAGACACTAACAAGTGTCTGAGGACATTACCCAGCAATTGAGGACCTCATGCGGTGTCTTAGGACATCTCACCCATTGTCTGACGATTTCATCCAGCAACACAGGACATCAAAAAGTGTCTGGGACAATCACTTGTGTCTGGGAACATCACCCAGTGTGTGAGGGCATCAACCTATGTTTGAAGACATCACCTAGTGTCTGAAGACATCACCACGTGTCTGAGGACATCACCTACTGTCTGAAGACCTTCAAAGTGACTGAGGACATAATTACCCAATGGCTGAGGACATCTCACCCATTGTCTGATGATTTTATCCAGTAACTGAGGACATCACCAAATGTCTGGGAACATCACCCAGTGTGTAAGGGCATCAACCAATATTTGAGGACATCACCTAGTGTCTGAAGACATCACCACGTATCTGACACCATCAACCAGTGTCTGAGGACATCACCTACAGTCTGAAGACCTTCAAAGTGACTGAGGGCATAATTACCCAATGGCTGAAGACATCTCAAGATTTTATCCAGCAACTTAGGACATCACCCAGTGTGTGAGGGCATCAACTTATGATTGAGGATATCACACAACCACCTCTGAAAACATTGACAAGTGTCTGAGGCCATCACTCAGTGACTGAAGTCAGTATCCAGCCACTGAGGACATCATGCAGTGTCTGAGGACATCTCAATCATTCTCTGAGGATATCATCCAATGCCTTAGGGCATCACCAAGTGTCTGGGACAAGCACTTGTATCTGAGGACATCACCCAGAGTGTTAGTCACAGGACATTACCCAATGTCAAAGGGCATCAACTTGTGTTTGAGGATATCATCCAATGTCTGTAAAGACATTACCCATCCTCTGAGGACATTGACAAGTGTCTGAGGCCATTACTTGTGTCTGAGGACATCACCCAGTGTGTGAGGGCTTCAACCTATGTTTAATGATATCACCTAGTGTCTGACACCATCATCCAATGTCTGAGGACATTACCCAGCATCTGAAGACATCAACAAGAGACACAGGACATCACCCAGTGTCAAATGACACCACCATGTATCTTAGGACATATCCAGTGTCTGGGGCCATTATCCTGTGACCAAGGACATCACTCAGTGTCTGGAGACATTACCAGAACCAGTGTCTGAGATCGTCACTCAATGTCTGATGACATCACCCAACCATCACTTAGTGACTGAGGACATGACCAAGTATCTGACACCATCATCCAAAATCTGAGGAACCCAGAGTCTGACACAATTATCCGGTGTCCAAGATCGTCACCCATTGTCTGATGACATCACCCAACCATCACTTAGTGACTGAGGACATGACCAAGTATCCGACACCATCACCCAAAGTCTGAGGAACCCAGAGTCTGACACAATTATCCGGTGTCTGAGATATCGTCATTCAATGTCTGAGGACATCACCCAACCATCACTTAGTGACTGAGGACATGACAGAGTATCTGACACCATCACCCAAAGTCTGAGCAACCCAGAGTCTGACACAATTATCCGGTGTCTGAGATCGTCACCCATTGTCTGATGACATCACCCAACCATCACTTAGTGACTGAGGACATGACCAAGTATCTGACACCATCACCCAATGTCTGAGGAACCCAGAGTCTGACACAATTATCCGGTGTCCGAGATCGTCACCCATTGTCTGATGACATCAGCCAACCATCACTTAGTGACTGAGGACATGACCAAGTATCTGACACCATCACCCAATGTCTGAGGAACCCAGAGTCTGACACAATTATCCGGTGTCTGAGATCATCACCCATTGTCTGATGACATCACCCAACCATCACTTAGTGACTGAGGACATCACCCAATGTCCGAGACAATCAACCAGTGTCCTGGATATGACCTACTTGTCTGATCATGTGGCATCACTTGTATTCTCAGAAGGACATTTATTTTTAAAAAGTACTTTTAACTTTCATCTAAAGAGGTGTTGGTACATTTTATTTAATCAATTCAATTTCACTGATTGTAATTGATTTAGCATACTTTCTCCTTAAAATACCAGGCTTCACCTCGTACATAATGAAAGTTCATATATCTCAATTCATGCAAGCCTCCTATCACCAATACAGGTCTGTGACTGCTGCACCCAAAATCAGATACCTATCACTTATCACTGAGAGTTTCATTCCTTACTACACAGTAGCTAAAAGTTAAAGTATTTTTCAACTTTTTCTTAATATTATCAGACATGACAAGATGAAAGCATGTCGTCAATTTCTTCAAGCGCCACTCCATGAAATCAATCATTAACATTGCTAGCAGGTAAGACTAGGAGGATAGCGACATGATAAAATACTAATGAGCAGTTTTTGATTTTTGATATTATTATGAATATAATCTTGACAAATCAGTTTGAGTTGGAATAGTGAATTTATGCTGAAGTTTTCTTCTAAATAAACCTAGCAAGCATTCTAGTTCATTAAGTGTTTAAATGATAGTTTTTGATATCATCAAAATTTCTGAACACTTACTCCTTTCCACGTAGATTAGTGCTAATGATGAGATGAGTAAAAAGGCTGATCTGGCCTGTTTTTGAGTGTGTATCTAGGTAGAATTAGGCCAGAGATACCACAGGAATTCCCATTCAGACCATGTGGAATGAAGAGATAGCATAAAGCAAGTTCAAATGAATTACTAGACAACATAATTGTTTGGTATGTCCACAGGAAGAGGATTGGCATTTTCACAGAACTACTGATTTGTTATATAAATGAGATTTCCGTGTTTCTGATGTGGCTTATTTACACTCTGGTATACAGAACAGGTGTCAAACGGGAAAAAAAATTACGAAAAAATAATTATAAATTTAAAAATCTGACAAAAATATTAAATGTTGTATGTAACAAGACCTAACGTTTGACTTTAAAGTAGGCCTGCAAAATACCACTTCAACTTCACTGGTTACTGTTCAAAGTAGACATGTTGATATTGAGCTATGGAAAGAAAGCCACATTACTAATGTAGAGTATGACAGAACTGGTGATCAATACAAGCTGACGTGAATACCTTAATTTCCTCGATATGACCCTTCTTTTTCTTCTTGCCAAGGGTACTGGCTTTGTCTGCGGAGTGTTTTCCCTTTTTACCTGGGGGGGTATGCATCGTTGCTGCGGTGACAGCGAACTCAATGAGTCTTCACCAAACGACACTATTCACTTCCTCAAACATGCAACAGGAGGCATGTTCACTTTCCCAGAATGTGGTAACATTGGTATCAATCTATTGTGAAACTTCCTGATTTTAATCCAAATATATTAAAAGATTGAGGGTCCACATGTTTTATATCCAATGTATACACAGGTAAAATGAAAATAAAATCCGCTCAGCACAGGTGTAGCTTAGATATTGACGAAAGATGTTGTGTTCTCTTAAGAGGGCACAATTAGAATGGAACAGACATGATTCTTACGAAGTGTATACAATATATAACAAATTCACCTCTGATACTCCTAACAGACCGACACACATGTATCTATCAATGTAACCAGACTGAGAAGTTAACTCAACACAAAATCCAAAGTTTGTCAGTTTGGCTGGAGAAATGAAGTGAGACACTAGTCCTGATCCTCCTGAGAGGACGAAAGGAGGGGTAAAAATCCTGTGTCATCTGTCAGCAGTGTTGGTCCTAAGAGTGTACATGTGTATGTGAGGACCAGGATGAATCAGGCCTTGTATTATTCAGCAGCACAAATCGACTGGCATTTGCATCAGAAGGCCTGTAGGATGGCTGAACAGTAATCAGGGGGAGAGGTGCACTATCTCTACCACTGGAGGCTCCCACGGGCAAACTACACACAAATTGTATCTTTTTATTCTTATTGGATTCTAGCTACATTATTATGTATGATTCTTTACCCCTGGTGCCCCACAGGGAAGACATAAATATTTGCTTGTGTTTAATAGGATCTAAGGCAATAGGGTGTATACCATTATGATGTCAAAAGCTGCTGGGTAATCTTTTCCAATATAACATTATATCATAAACAGTTTTCTATTCTATTGAGGCCATTAAAGGGGAGATTATTAAGTGGCAGGTTTACCGATCATCATTTTGCAGTATACATACAGTAATGTATTTCAAAGGGCATATTGAAGTAATGTGGCATTTTTGTTCTCTACCAAGTATGTGTATATATATACATGTCTATACCATAGGGAAATTATATAAAGGGCACAAAATACATCGTGAATATTTTGATCTTCTTTGTACAATATTATAGCTGTTCATATATTTACATATACCGGTATATATATATATATACAGGATGTATAACATTCTACAACACTGAAGCATGCCAAATTGTTACGAAACAGATACAAGAATCCCAATACAATTAGATTTGTCAACATATCCGTTTTTTGTAACTTAATTAACTAGACTTAATTAACAGATAGCCAAAGCTTGTCAGTGGTGAACCAATTACATGTTTATATGGTGAGACAGCAGAGGAAGACAGGATTGGGAGAGGGAAGAGAGGTGGACCAGTAAATCAGGGGATCAATGATTTCAGGGAGCTGTGAGCATGCTTTAGAGACATGTTGCATGTGCAGGCCGGTGGCTTATGGGGCTCCATGTGGGGAATTTAACTCCATCCTGTAGTGAAGTCTGGTGTACATGTATTACAGAACCAATTACAATATATCAGAGGTCTGTATTCAGTGTAATAACCATAGCAGATCCAGATTATTCTGTAAAATAACACCATTAATAAAAGATTTGTATTGTGTACCACTTCACAATGTTTTCATTATAAGGCTAATAGGATTTCCAGTGAACCTGCTCAACTTCAATACAACAAATCAATAAGGTGACTGATTATTTCAAAAAAAGCAATTAAAATTGTGTAAGGTTAAGACTGAATTATATTTCAAGAGTTGGTATGGGTATTTGACAGAGTCTGAGTATGGTGGCTAATTTGACTCATCTGAGTTGGAGTCAAGAAGAGCATTTGACTCCATTGAATCTTATTTAGGAGAAGCACTGACAATCAACTGAGTCTGAGTTAGATATATTTGACTTATCAGTGTCTGAGTTATCAACTTGTTCATGTATATGATCAGTTTGAAAAGTTTTCTTTCGACTTTTTGGGGGATAGTTTTTCAAAATATTTTTTCCTGTTGTACGTTTTTGTTTAAAATTATTTTTCAAAGAATTAAAGTGTTTCATTTGTTGTTATAAAAAACTCAGGCAAGTACAGTTCTTCATTATCAAGGTAGGATATTGTATTTCCATGTTTTTGTTTTTGTTTTTATTGTATTTCCATTTTTTCTCTTATCATTCCAATCCATTAAATAGTTATCCAGGCTCCTGGACTGCCTGTGTTCTATGTTTAAGTCCAATTTCCGATGGAAGGCATTGCAGCTGGTACATATTGGTACACAAATCCTGTTTATTGATCAGAACCTTGTAAACGTTTGCTTATGAACATATTGATCTTGAATTACAAACCTCTGTCTGATTGAGGCAGCCACCAATAATTACTGTAAACAATGGCATGAGTAATGCCTGTCTGCAGGGATAAACCGTTCTAGTATCACTGTGACAGGTTAGACCTAAGATTGGCTTTGGACATATGTAATCAAACAGCTTGCGGCTAATCCAATTCAGATTTCCAAATAATAGATAGAGGCACAATGTTTGAGTTACGAACTTTGAAATATTAATCCACTGTTATTTTGACATTATAAGGAATATAAGGCATAAAAAAAAAGTTTAGATGAAAATCAGGGTAATTCACTGGATCATCATAAGGGTCATTTAGCTCACATATCTCATATGCTGTTGTGTATAATTGATGATGTCATTGTATTGTTAGAATACTTTTAGTTGGGGTAAACATATAATATAAAGACAAAGATCATATTCAAATGAATCCTGTATCTATTATCAGTGCAAAGGTTTTGCTAGAACCATGGATCTAATGCACTGAGGTCATTCATAACCAGAGGAACCCAGTTAATAGGTTCCATAAAAGAATGTCATTTTCAACATATTAAAAAGAACTTCATCTGTATATGGTAATATTTTCAATTTAAAGTTACAATGTATTATCTTTGAATATTTGTATATGTAACATGACCTTGTTCATTTACAGAATAGGTTTCCCAAGGTCAAGGACAGGAAATACATGACTGGAATCAACAATGTTGAACATCCAATTAATGGTTACAAGATAAGGTCAAAAGCAGGTCATGACTATTACAAGTAGATTCTCTATGTACCTACATGTATATAGGTAGCAGCCTGATTTAACAGCCTACAGGTCAAGGAGAGGTGATGTTTGAATGCAAAAGTGATCTGTGTATATGCATACATGTCAGTTCCCTAGTTTTACCAGGTCAAACGACTGACACAGGTGGCAGTGACCTAGATTTACAAGGTCAAGGACAGATGACTAATACACAGGACAAGTACGTAGCTTCAATGAACCTTCAACTTATAAGCCCTAACTAAACACAGTAGGGCACTGCTTCCATATAGGTATTGACCAGTCCACCAGTGTGTGTCAATCCTAGAAAATGGCAGTAATGAGTCATTTGGAGTGTCCATTCCTTATTGTCGAGGAAAATGACACTTGTATACTAATCTCTAATAAATCTCATTACAAACTGTATTGGAAAAGACATTGATTAGATCAAACACACCCAACGAATTTGACTGACTTTACACCATCCAATCAGTCTAGGAATAGCTTTAACATATGAATAACCTATAGTTTATACATAATGAAATGAGGACAAAACATTATTCTACAGGTTGTTGTTCTACTGTAGAATTGACGCCTGTTCATCTCAAATTTACTTACCAAAATATTAATTAATACCAACAGGTAATCTGACTAACCTTTTAAATATTTATGTTTCCATAAACACATATAACACCAGAAACAATTAATGGTGTCTAGACAGATATTATAAGTCTAGACTTATCTATAGAGGATGACATTCAGCTTTTATTTTACTTTTATTGATCTCATTCCGAAACAATTTTGTAGTTTAAAAATTCTAAGTACAATGTAACACTTATCCATTAAAGGATGAACATGGTTGCCGCAAAAGGTTTCAAATCAACTAAAGGTAATTTGTAACCGTGATTTGTGTTTGAATCTCGCTTAAATTTTCAAACATTTGATAGTGGAAGGTACCTGAATGTACATATTCCTGTCTACTTTCAAATGAGAGAGCAATCTATTCATAAATTCTGAATTTCCATAAATAAGTTACAGATAACTGACAAGTTCCAAAATGGTGCTGTATATCAGGGCAGTCAAGTACATGTAATTGGACAACCACAAAGCTGCCATGCATGGAACATAACACAATTATTGCCCTAGTTGTAGCTTTATAGGGAAACATGATTCTTTGTTTCCCCAAGACTGATGATGTTTCACAAAGACAGAGCCATATTGCAACATGAAAAATCAAAGGGAAACAAATAATTTGGTTTCCCTTCAAGTGCAAAAAATATTTTATTATACTGAAAATAGAAAAATAACACAACAGTAAAGATGAACAAATAATAAGCCACTGTTGTCGTCTGCATCAGTCTCTCAGATCTTGGGTGTAGAGAGCATGCCTCATTCTCCTTTTTGCTATAGAGAGGCCAGGAAATTAAGCATGAAAGGGAAACAAATGTTTTATTTCCAAAACATGTGAACAATATAGATGAGGTACATTTATACCTGCTAATACAGTACCCAATGATTTATACCTGCTAATGCAGTACCCAATGATTTATACCTGCTAATACAGTACCCAATGATTTATACCTGCTAAT